AACCTATTGTGGTATGACGGGCGGATCTATGTACCCATGGACCGTAACCTTAGAGGACAGATCATAGCCCTCAAACATGACCACGTCACTGCGGGCCACCCTGGTATCGAAAAAACCAAGGAGTTGGTGCTTCGCGATTACTGGTGGCCAAGAATGCGTCGAGATGTAGAGGCGTACGTGAAGGGGTGCGACGTCTGCCAGCGGACTAAGGCAGATTGCCGCCCAAAGAGGGCCCCCTTACATCCCAATGAGGTCCCAGTTCGCCCTTGGACCCACATTTCGGTGGACATGATCACCAAGCTACCAGGCTCAAAGGGTTTTGACTCTATCCTGGTTATAGTCGATCGTTTCTCTAAGACTATTATCCCTATTGCGTGCACCGAAGAGCTCACTTCCCTCGGTTTCGCCAAAATCTTAAGGGACTACGTCTATGTACCTTACGGAGTAATGCCGGAAAAAGTCATTTCGGACCGAGGCTCGGTTTTCGTCTCCAAGTTTATGAAGGAGTTTTACACCCTCATTCACGTCGAAGGAAACCCCTCTACCGTGTACCACCCCCAGACGGACGGACAAACCGAAAGAGTCAATCAGGAAATCGAAAAATACCTGAGAATGTTCGTCAACGATCGACAGAACGATTGGAGCGAATGGTTGCCCCTGGCAGCCTTCACCCACAATAATCGTCAACACTCATCGACTGGGTATTCCCCGTACAAGGTGGTGTTTGGACGAGATGGGCAGGTCATCACCACAGCACAAAAACTGACAGTAGTCCCAGCAGCGGCAAAATTGGTAGCAGAAATCGAGAAAGCGCAGAAGGAGACGAGAACATCCCTAGAAAAGGCGGCAGAGTCAATGAAGAGGGCTTATGATAAGCACAAAGGTCGGGCGGCGGAATACCAGCCGGGGGACAAGGTGTGGTTAGACACAACCAACCTAAATCTCCCTCGCCCTACCAAGAAGCTAGGGGATCGCCGCGTCGGACCCTTCGTTATCATCGCCAAAAAGGGAGCCTTGGCTTACGAGCTAAAATTACCTGTCCGATGGAGAATTCACAATCGATTCAACGAATCGCTCCTAACGCCTTACGTCGCTCCTGAATTCCCAAATCAACCACGTCCCAAGCGACCACCTCCAGAACTAGTTGACGATGAAGAAGAGTACGAAATTGAGGAAATTGTGGAGCAACGGGACAAAGTTGTAGGTCGCGGACGCACTCGTCGCACGATAACGGAATACCTGGTAAAATGGAAAGGTTATCCGAGGGAGGAAAATTCTTGGGTTAAACAATCGGACATGGCCAACACGGAGGAACTGGTAAACGAGTACGAAGCGCGCATTCAGAGAATTCAATGGGAGGTTGATAAACATGGAAAGACGGTCGGGAGGGACACGAAAATACCCCCTAACGTAGGGATGGTATATCACGACCCGGACACCCCCTGCGCCACAGACATCGAAACGGTTTACTCCTCTGAGTGTACCAACCCTAGACACTCGGATACCCAAGAAGACTATGACCAAATTGTAATCACGGAGGGCGAGGCAGAAGGAACGCCAACCATAGAGGCAAATCAACTAGATGAGGAGGGGGAGACCAACCTCAAATGCCTTCAGCGTATCTATGAAGACTGGGACTTCGACTCCGAAGACGACGACGATGATTCCCTTTCCTTCTATAGTGAGTCAGCGCAGAGCGGTGAGGAAAGCGTAGGCTCATTTGGGACGAATGAGTCTTAGGGAGGGGGTAATGTTACGGTTTATTCTTTTCTTTTTCTTTTCTTACGCATTCACGCTTACACTATGTTGCAATTCTGATCGGACATTCCCACAGTACTATTTTTAGTCTACTCAACGTGTATTTAAGTAGAGCCTCAGCTGGCCTAAAACCCAGCTTCGGCTAAGGTTTAATCTACCTAACATCGAACTCCGTGTTTCGCGTCTATCTCGTTCGCTCGCTGCCTTAACATCGCCTTTGACCCGCTGGTGTATCGTCTACCGAAGTGCGAGTAGCGATCCTAGCTTGATCTAAGTCGATTTGAGTTAGTGGCTAACATTCCAGTGGTCATTCTTCCTCATATAATGCTGCTTCTGTGATGCATCCTCCACAAAATCGGGGTCGAGGTCATAGGCAGATTCGTGGTCAAGGCCGAGGTGCAGTTCAGGTTTCTCATCCATGGCCAGTATCACCATTAGATATTGACATGATGAATCTGGCTGGACACCAACAATATCAACAGCAAGTACCAACTCCGCCACCTTCTCCACCACCAACTCCGCCACCCCCTCCACCACCAACTCCACCTGCACCACCTGCACCACCACTACTGCCTTCACCACCACCACCACCATGACCAAGAACAATTCCAACTTTGCTCCCTACTGCAAGACGTCCATATGTTGAACCACATTCTCAACATAGCATTGGAAAGATGAAGTGGCTTTGTGAATACTGTGGTGCACCACATTGGTATAATGAGCGTCTTAAATCCAAGTCAAGAACCAGACCCCATTTTGGCCTATGCTGCTTGCAAGGACAGGTCAAACTGCCTCACCTTCTTCCTGCTCCTGGCGTTCTCCATAATCTTCTGTGTGGTGTCAGCCTGATGTCTAATACCTTTTTAAAAAATATCCGACAGTACAATGCAGCTTTGGCATTCACATCAGTAGCAGTGAAGGTTGATCAAGCGATTACCAACTCTTCAGGACCATACTGCTTTCGTGTATCAGGAGAGCTTCATCATCAAATGGGATCTCTGCTACCAAGAGAAGGAGAGGATATGTCTTATGCGCAGCTGTATATACATGATCCGATGGAAGCATTAGGAATGCGTAATCACCGGAATCCCAATCTAAAGCCAGAGATCATGTCAGCGCTTCAGGGGTTAATGCACGATGTAAATCCCTATGTTCCTTTGTATCGACAAGCATATCTCATTATGAAGGACAAACCCCGTGAAGAGTATCCAAATCTGGAAGTTCAATTGCATGTGGGGGATGATACAGATGGTCGGCGATACAACCTTCCAACAGCTGATGAGTTAGCAGCTGTCATTCCTGGAGATGGATCTGAGCCTGTGAAGAATGAACGGGATATCATCTTACGTATGCACAATCAGTCTCTCAAGCGCATCAGCCAACTTCATCCAAGCTACCAACCTCTTCACTATGTTCTTCTCTTTCCATATGGAGAACTGGGGTGGAATCGCTATATACCTCTGGAAGAGACAGCAAGGAGCACCCGCACAGAGCATAAAATGGTCACTCAGCACATGTATTATGCATATCGTCTTCACGAGCGCCCAACAATTGAGCCAGATGCTCCATTATACAGAGGAGGCCATTTGTTTCAGCAGTATATTGTGGATGCATGGGCATCAATTGAGCAAAGTGATCTCAACTGGGTTCGAAACAATCAGAAAACCCTCCATGCAGATCTGTATAAGGGGTTAGTGGATGCTGCCAATAATGAGGATGGATTGCGCAACTCTGGCCAATGTATTGTCCTTCCATCATCACATACAGGCAGCCCACGTGCAATGTATCAGCTTTATCAGGATTCTATGGCAATCTGTCGAGCTTTGCAGAAGCCAGATATTTTTCTTACAATGACAGCAAACCCACAATGGCCAGAAATTGTTGAGGCTCTGAAGCGTACAGATGGACCTGATCAGAAGGTGGAGGATCGACCTGATATTGTGGCCAGAGTATTTCAGTTGAAGAAGGAGGCTCTGCTGCAGGAAATCAAAAAGGGTGGAATATTTGGCAAAGTCAGAGCTATTGTGCATACAATCGAGTTTCAGAAGCATGGACTTCCTCATATGCATCTTCTGATTTTTCTGGATCCTGACCACAAGATTCGCTCTCCTGCTGATGCTGATTCAGTCTCATGCGCTCAGATTCCTGATCCTGAAACACACCCTATTCTCCATGAAGTTGTTACCAAGTGTATGGTGCATGGTCCCTGTAATGAGCGCTGCATGAAAGATGGTTGCTACTCAAAGAACTTTCCAAAGGATTTTAATGAGCAGACAGGGTTCACTACTGATGGATATCCCAATCTGGCACGTCCTAATAATGGTCGCAAGTATGTCAAAATGCGTGGCCAAACCCAAATTGTCTACACCAACCGTGATGTTGTGCCATATAATCCCTACCTCAGTGCACGTTACAACTGTCATATCAATGTGGAGGTCTGTGTCTCTGTAAAGGCTATAAAATATATCCACAAATACATCTACAAGGGTCATGACAGGACTACATTGGAGGTTCGGGATAAGGATGAGATCAAGGAGTTTTTGGATGCCCGCTACATCTCTGCTATTGAATCATGCTGGCGAATCTTCTCTTTTTGGCTGCATCAGGAGGAGCCAAATGTTGTTCATCTTCATGTCCATCTTCCCAATGAACAGTTGATCACATACAATGAGAACGATAGTGCTGAAAATGTGTTAGCTGCTGCTGATGCAAAATCTACAACTCTGCTACGATGGTTTGAACTCAACCAGAGAGATCCAAGTGCATGGCAGTATCTATATCAGGAGATTCCTGCTCATTATACCTGGGACAAGAAAAACTGGAATCCACGCCAAAAATATACTACGATTGGTGTCACTATTGGCTGCATGTATCAAGCTGCTCCCTCTTCTGGTGACCGGTTTTACCTTCAGCTACTTTTGACAGCTGTTGCTGGCACTCAATCATTTAGACATCTGTGTACAGTCAATAATGTGGAGTATGCCACCTTCAGAGAGGCTTGCATTGCTATGGGTTTGCTGGAGGATGACAATGAATGGAGACAGTGCTTGGAGGAGGCAGCCATTATGCAGTCAGGAGCACAGTTGCGATCACTTTTTGTGACACTTCTTCTCTTCTACCAGCCAGCAAAGCCAGATGAGCTGTGGGAACAGTTCAAGGAGAACATATGTGATGATCTGGCATACAAGCTTCACCAGCATGATATTCCCAATCCAACAGAAGCTCAGCTTTATGATTTTGGCCTGCATCTAATTGATAAGCTTCTTCGATCTCATGGTCGACATCTTTCTGAATGGACTCAGATGCCTGCCTCTACCATGGACTGGGCTGCTTATGAGGACAACCCTCTTTTGGCAGCACAGCTGGCATACGACATTCCATCTTTGCGGCAATTGGTCAATAATAACCTTCAAACCTTCAATGCAGAGCAGCGTGAGGCTTATGATATTGTGGTGGAGTCTGCTACTCATCAACAAGGGAGATCAGTATTTCTTCATAGTGCTGGAGGTGGTGAAAAGACATTTGTCTGCAATACTATTGCTGCCGCTGTTCATGCTCAAGGACAGATTGTGTTAACCTGTGCCTCCTCCGGTATATCTGCTGTTCTCTTAGCTGGAGGATGTACAAGTCATAGCACCTTCAAAATTCCAATCCCTTCACGTGATGATACAACATGTAGTATTCGCAGAGGGACTCACTTAGCTGAGCTTCTTTGTCAGACTGCACTCATCATTTGGGATGAGGTTCCTATGCAGAACCAACATGATATCGAGACTGTGGATTGTACTCTTTGTGATATTTGCAATAACAATGCACTCTTTGGTGGAATCACTGTATTATTTGGTGGTATGTTATTATTATTGGTTAGGTTTTTATTGATTGTCTTTGCTCATTTTTTCTCTTAGGAGACTTTTGTCAGACATTGCCAGTTGTTCCATGAGGATCATGGGAGCAGATTGTGGCAGCTTCATTTTGTCAATCCCCTTTGTGGCCTTACATTCAGGTCATTCACTTGAAAACAAATATGCACCTGGATCAGACTCCTGAAAACATTGAGTTTGCACATTGGCTGCTTACTGTGGGTGCAGGCGAAGGACTCACCGAAGATCATGTCATCTCACTTCCTCCTTCCATGCATCTTACCAACTCTTCACTTTCTGGACTCATCAATTACATTTACCCAAACATTGCAGCTGGCCATTTTCAGGATCACTTCTTTTTGGAACGAACAATTCTCTCTGGACGTAATGATGATGTGGATGAAATCAATCAGAAGGTTTTCCCAGGACAGGAGACTGTTTATTGGAGCACAGACAAGATGATAGAGGATGAGTTGGATGATGCTGCTATGCTTTATCCAGTTGAATTTCTTCAAAACTTCAATGCCTCTGGATTACCATGTGCAAAACTGGCACTCAAAGTGGGATGTCCTCTCATGCTTCTTCGTAACCTGGATCCAGCAAATGGTCTGTGCAATGGGACACGAATGATTCTCACACGATTCCAGCCTCATGTATTGGAATGCTGCCTTCTTAGTGGCACCAATGCAGGCAAGACTGTCTTCATCCCATGTATCACACTGAATGCAGACACAGCAGAACTTCCTGTTGCTTTTTCATGTCGTCAATTTCCAGTCAGATTGGCCTTTGCAATGACAATCAATAAGTCCCAAGGCCAGTCTGTTACTTTTGTTGGGTTGGATTTGCATACTCCAGTTTTTTCTCATGGACAGCTTTATGTAGCACTTAGCTACTGTACTTCAGGACAAAGGATTCGAGTTCTCTTTTCAGATACAGAAAGAGGTACAGACACTTTAAATATTGTATATCCTGAGGCTCTACTACATGCATAATATGGATTTTTTATATTTAACAAGGATTTTACTCAACTAATATCCCAAGTATAAAGCTGGGTTTGGGGCAGGCCCCAATGAGCCAGAGACCCATGTCGTAGTCAGGTTGCTGGGTCCCGAGGTACGAGGGCCCCAGCAATCGTGACGAAGACACGGGTTGTAGGCTCGTGGCATAAGATATCCTCAAAAATCCATTCTCCTATAGTACAAGCAGTTTCCTTTCTAAGACAATGGAACTCAGGATAGTGGCTGAGTGAACACCAGCCCTCAATGATATATCTGAACTGTCTGGAGGTCAGCATTATCATTGTGTCCATGTACATCTTTGAAAATAGCAGAGCTGGAATTGCAACAATTGGTGAAATAAGAATTTGGCAGGTTTGCCATACTTGACAAAGATGACAGGTGCTTACAAACCATGCAAGGTCATACTTCATATCCAGCCACCAATAGCATTCTTTAGCTAAGGCATGGGTCACATAAAACCCTTTATGTGTGACATCATCATGACAAGACATCATCACAAACATGCATCTTCGAGGGAATACTACAAACTGGTGTTTTCCCTGCGGATTTTTACACCAAAGTCTACCATCTCTTTCAAAAAATTGAACAGCATATTTCATGAATTTCTTGTAGGCAATATCATCATAGCCAGGTGGTCTTTTCAAACTGATGAACCATGGTATTAAATGATTAAGCCATTCATCTAGATGATTTTGTTTTGCCATACGGGGTACTGCTAAATAAGGTAACATCTGAGTTTCTTCTAATGCTGTGACTTCAGTATCTTGTAACAGGCATTATACTAATGTCATGGGTGGATTAATAGTAGGGGAAGTCGAATTTATTAAATGCATCAGCCCATAATGAGTGTGTAAGAAGTCTTCCATCCCGTCTTCAGGCGGTGGAGGATCTCCTAGTTGGGGTGGGCATAGGGATAATCCATCTGGACCATGTTTGGTACCTGGTACATGGACTAGGATGAAGTGAAATGAGAGAATTCCGATGATCCAACAGTTTACTGCAGCTGAAGGTGCAATATCAGGGTTTTTGAGCATACTCTTGATGGCACTGGTGTCAACTTCTACAACAAAGGTAGCAAGACTGATTAAATAGACTTTGCAATCTCCTAATGCTCTATAGAGACCAAATATCTCTTTCTTTGCTTGGGAATATCTGCACTCGCGTTCATTGAGCATGATTGATCCAAATCTGCCAAAATACCAGATCAACAGATCGACAGGGTCACATTGAGCAAGATAATAGTTGACAGTGGCAGGCCCTGTATCCATGGCAAGTATGACAGCTCCTGTTGAATTATAATTAAGAGGCCTTAATGCTGGGCTATCCTTCATGGCAATTTTAAGATCTTCTTGTGCAGCAATTTCTTCTTTCTCAAATTTGAACTCTATGCCCTTGCAGAATAATTTAGTAATAGGGAACATCATTGATGTATGGAATAGTGACATTCAGAATTTCTGGTTGAAGAATAAAGGTAACATCATCATGGAAGATGGGCATGGAATTAGTCCAACTCATAGATAACGTTACAAGTCTTAAGGTGCTGTAAGGAGTTTGAATAGTAAGATCATGAGAGGATTCTGCTAGTAAACATTCATCATATCCAATGAATAAATCTAGAGTAGCTCTGCATGCGTGTCCTGTGAAATGTTCTGTGAGAGGATCTGTAGCTGATGGTAATCCAGAATGAGCAATGGTGACTTCGTTGAGTGGCTCTAGACTGTGAACTATATGAAGACTTTTGCCATCTTTCTTTTACCATGAACCATCTCGAGTGGTATGAGGAATTGGAAGGTTCATATACACCTGCGTCTATCTTGGTTTTGATAATACGACAGACTTCAGCATAGATTCCTGGTGGTATTGGAATATTTTGTAGTACCCAAGGGGTATGTTCTATGATGGGAATATCAATGAGAGGAAAGAAATCTTGTCTAAAACTTCCTTGTTCTGAGTCTTCCCAAGCAAAGGCTTTATCCTGTACTGACATGAACACTGGATCAAAGTCAATGTATTTTTAGGCATAAACTTTGACTTTGGTGCAGTGGAAGTGATGTAATAGCTTCATCTCTTCTGGCCAAAGAAATCCATCATTATAAATAGAGTCAATATATTCTTTTCTTTCTGGAGTAAAACATTCAGTAGGAGTATAAGGTGATGGGGTAGATGATAGAGTCAGAATATTAGCCAAGAGATCCCCATAAATATGGCAAAAGATATGGAATTTATCAGGTAGTGTAGCAAGCACCGGTTTTGTTTTCAATGCAACACGCTTATACTTCTTTCCTACAAATACTGAGACTTTCTCAGGGAACCAGGGCTCATACGATTGATCTCCAATAATATTAGATCCATAAAGTTTATACATGTGGTCTCGAGGCTGGGGAATGTAACCAGATTTAGAATTTCTAGAGGAATTCAAGTACAGCAGCATTAGCTGATCTCGGTCTTTGGAAAGTGAAAATTCTGGACTGGAGGATGGAATATAGGTAGATTGTGATTCTGAAGACAACTATAGTGATTGAGTAAATGTAGTAGCAGGGATAGGGAATTTATTAGGGTCACAAGCAGATAAATATTGCGCAGAAACCTGTTCTGCAGTTGATTTGGAATTTAATGCTATGTAGGAAATAATCTTTGGTTTTTGATTTGTGTCTAATTCGATGATAAGGGCGATCTCCTCTATGTCCTCTATGGGTTCTTCTAGTCAATTTTTCCAAGAATATGGAACATGGTTAAGGATTCGAGGTCTACTATGTGGAATAGTTGGGATGGTGGCAGTTTTGCTGATATTAGGATCATGAATAGTAATAGTCTGATTCTCATCAGCATAATTTCTGATGATACTCTTGATTAAGGTGTCGAATGGTCTGCCCAATAAAATATCATATGCTGATTGCCGAATAACATGTACTTGGAGATATAAAGTAATATCATCAAAGAGGAATGGGACATTCCATGCTAAACCCAGAGCCTTAGTCTTAAATCTGAGCCTTTTTCAGTCCAATACAGTAAGGATAAGGTGATTTATTATCTCTTATTGCAGCAAGATCCTCTGTAGGAAACTCTGCAGTTGTCATATACCCTGGGAACACTGCCAGTGGGATTGTATTATATAATCCTTCAATTGGAATATATTAGCACCCATTGCACCCTCCTCGCTCCTCACAAATCTTGGTTTGGGCATAAAATTGCAGGTTTACATTATTTATCAGCATAAGCGGCATGTTCACTTATTTATATGGATATAGCTGTGCTGGTGATGTCAGTTCCCTACATCATCATCCCTCACATCATCATTTCTTGTCATCATCCTCCAGGATATTACAGTTTTACCCCTATTTTCCTTATCTTATCTTATCATCTCCCAGAATCCTAGACTGACCCATCTTATCTCATGGACCTGCAATATTCTGACAGCACACCTTTTACCTGTTTACCCAGTTGCTGTCACCCTAATTGACAGTTGTCACATCTCAGATGACCAATGTGCTGCATGTACCATCATGCTTCTCTTGATGGTATCATGCTTCTTAGTGGTTGGACAAGAGTCAACTGCTAGTCGAGGGTGGTCTATGGGATATAGTCTATTCAGATAGAGTTCCATGTCAACACAGGTGATATGTGCTCTTTACTCTCATTCATTGGGGACACACTTCTTTCGGTGTCCTCACTCCCCATTTGTTGCAAAGTGCACTTCTTGTTGCACGCACCCTGGTAGACACTATTTTTAGTACAAGCCTGACATATATTTAAGCTAGCCTATGCTGTGGCTTCAGACCCCAGCTTCAGCTAGGGTTATACACTCCTAACTCTTACAAGCTCCTTGTTCTCGCTATCTAAGTGATGCTCTAACTT